GAGAAGCAATGGGGTCTGACGTGGGTTTAAGTCGTGCTGGCCAGGTGGTGTGTTCGCCTGGGGTGAGGATCTTACCTGGAAGACTAGCTCCCAGTCCGGATTAACGCCATTCGTAGGACAATGATTTGCTCTAATTGGTTGAAGGCATTAGATCGTTATCAGGTTCATTTGTGGTATAATATATGCAGTTCTAAGGGGGAGGGGGGCTGAGTTTAGTCGCAGGTGTCAGAACAGTTTGCAGATATAGAAGATTGAAAGCTTAGAATTTTTGCGCTGCGCTAACAGAAACGATATCTTCAAACTATTTAGTCAGGTTGAAGGGTTGAAAGTATTTACTGTACTACAGGGACAATGGTTGCAGTGGTGCGGAACCTTGTGAAAATGAAGAAGTTCAGGAACGCCCTCTATCCCGATAAACTATTATTGCAGATGGATGTGATGAAGCATATGCACACAGGCGCTGGATGGAAGAATTAACTATGAAATTCATTGACGCACACAAAGAAGATGGGGGTATATACTCTCCAAGCTGGGGCTGAGTCTTCTACTTATTTTCGGCCCTTTTAGGAGTTTTGTCGTGTGGGCTGTTTTAGCTAGACGCCTAGAGCCAACCATTAATGTCAGAAGTGTGAGGTAATTGCACGGATATGTTGAGAAGTGGACGTAAATCACCCGAACATTTTTTTCAACTAAAATATTTCTATTTTTGGTGCAAGAAATGTTACATAATGTCCCTTTAAGATATAAGACGGCCCCTTCTTCTTCTCTTCTTGACATCTGGTCTATGTATGGCAAGCGTTAATAACTTGAAAATTGCTACCTGTCAAGATGATGGTATGGAGACAGACAGGTTTAAAAAAACACAAGCGTTCAACATTGAGTAATGAAGTCATTTGTATTCAGTTTTTTTTCGATCATCTGCTGCATTCAATTCTTGTTATATCATTTGCACATGATTGTTTTCGTAGAAGTTATAGTTATAAATTCTAGTTAGTTTTTCCTAGTTAAAATTTCTTTTAGTATTTTGTATCTACCTAGCAGTGTATCAAACAGATACACAAAGGAACATCTCTATCACATATACTTACTATGTGCACATATGTTTATCATGTTTCCAAATAAAATTTTCGCAAAAAATTATGCATCACGTCAAGACAAGGTGCAAACAAACTATGACCCAATTCATAAAAAAATAGATATAGACCAGTACAGTGTATATAGCACACATTCACAACGTTTTACCTTTTATGATACGCTTAGTTGTCTATGATACGAGCCATATACAGTGTATAAGTACGTAGCTTATCGGGGTAAGTTATCACAATAGAAATGCCAACGAAAGGTTGTAAACATGTCACAATTTGTTGCGCCCCCCCCCCCACACAAAAACACACCACACACGCACACACAGTCTCTCTAGCGTAAGCAAAGTACGTATGTAGTATTGGCAACTGTGCATGAAAAGCTACCTGCGGAAGATATAAGTTTTCTTATCCCTCTCGAGTAAAAAAAACAATGTTTTACTGTATTACAAATTTTTTTGTGATTGTTCGTCTGAAAACTTCCACCTCTCTGAACTTTCAGAAGTCAGAAGTAACGACCTGGTGTTATTTATGGGCGTCATCTCACCAGGCATGGCGACTTCTCATTAATCACGGAAAACTCGTAAAAAAGTTTTAAATGAAATGACGCGGAAGAAAGTTACTAATTCTACTTAATGGATGAACAAAAACACCTATAATTTATTCAAGGACAGTTTCTGAACACCTGTGATGGTGAGGGGAGGACTTGTGTCCGGATTTGAAGTCCTTGGTCACAAGGTTTCAGAGCGACAGGAGAGAATTCGATTGTTGTTAAGTTGATAGAGGGGTTTGGTAAGTTTGGGTAAGAGGGCAGAACAAAGGAATGAATACTGGGCCTCCAGGCGAAGCGATTTGTGTCAATGTTTAAACGGCATCAGTTAATTAATGAGGATAGCTTTGGCTCTTATAGGGGTTAATAGGACCACGCCTTCTCACCATGATTGAATGGCCTCCACTGTACCTGTTTTGTTCAAACGTGAATAAGGCTTGGTAAATTATGGAATTCCCCATTGTTCATCTTAACGAATAGCCTCAGAGAAGGCTAAAGAAGAACTTTACTGTGAAGAAGGAAGTTGTGCCTTAGAAATGACGAAGACGGTGTATCTACCTCGCGTATCTCTCTACAAGCTTTTAGAGAAGTAAGTATCTTGCAAATAAGATACTTAGCGGGGTGAGATGAGATCGTTCAGCTGATAGGTTTGAGGTGGGGTGGGCGAGGTGTGGAACGGAGGTGACCCGGCAACAAATCAGGATGAGAGGCGCCCGAGGCCACCCGAAGAAAAACGACTAACTCATCTTGAAATGGAGCGGAAAAACAATGGGAGGGAGAAGCAATTGGGCCTCACGCCTTGTCAGTCATTCACGTAAGAAGGCAGGGGGGCACCCAGGTGAGATAATCACCTGGCAGAGGAGCGCCTACCGTGCAAAAACCACCACAACTACGTGTCAAACAGATAAACTCCCAAACCTTTCGTAAAAAAGAAGTGACAGCGAAAAGTGACAACGTTAACAGTTTTGCTGTGATGGTGTCGTTTGCACGCGTCATTTTGAAAGAATTTTTGGCGGGAACCGTCCTTCGCCCTAGGTAGAACAGGTGTTCTCGGCTGTCAATCAAAAGCTTGCTGTGACGTCAGAAAAGGTGACTACAGGTCATTTGGTGACTTTGACGCTAATTTTCCCTTTTGATTGATATCTTCGATATGTGGTAAGATACAGGCCTTGACCCTTTTCGTAAGAAATTCTTTGGCTCTATTCCCAACACTAGTACAAACATGTATCTAGGTTCTGCACTAGGGCAACCACAAGCAACTAAAAGAAAATAATTTTTCTTGTCTCCAATGGTCTACGTCTCCTTTAAACGCAGAAAAACGCCAGAAATGCGAAAATTGAAACATTCGCATTACTGAAGGACAAAAATATTGTTAAGAAAGCTGACCAAGTGAATAACTTCGTAAACAAGACTACAATACATGTTTAGACCTTAGAACAAGTAGTATTAGTTGACCCACCTATTGTTCTGTACGTAGGATATTTTCGTTGTACCCATGTATAATTGTCTGTATATCTACATGTCTTTGACCTTACAAAAGTCGCTGTACTTTTTGTTGTGTCAATAAAGTTCTTCTATAACTAAGGAAACCAACTAACCTTAAACATCAGAAAGTCAACAAACCAGAGCATCTTGTTGACTTATTTCTCAGAAATACCGCGGACAACACCCTGTAAGGATACAAAAATGACAATGAAATAATTAATGTTGCAAATCAAATCAAAACAAGATAGGAATTGAACATAAGAGTCTATGTCCAGTAAGCGTTCTCCCATGCCATAGGCATTATCAGATTTTGCCTAGGCCTTGTCATCACTTCGCACAGTTAACAAAACATTGATTGGAGATCGGTTAGATACTGCAGTATTTTATGTATGTCGCATAGCCGCATGTCCCTTTTCTTTTAATTCGATAATTTTACAATTTTCAGTTGGACCAATGAAAATATCTAGATATCCATTGCACCATTTTGTCGCTCCCATACTTCCTAACGTATTCTCCTGTTCGCTAAAGTATTACAATCACTCCATCATGTACAGCAACAGTATAACAGCATTAGAATGAGACATATTTTCTTTATACGGCTTGATTTGGTTGTTTTGTAGAAAAACGTCAATTTTAACAGCAAATATCACTTCTAGATGTCATGAGTTACTTCAGTTGTATGAAAAGAAAAGGAAGTCCTATTTTTTCATAACCTTCCAACATTATCATGCGGGTAATTGTGAGCAGGTTTGACCTAAAATGGTCTGTCTGTGTGTGAACTGTGACACACAAACACCTCTTATCACTGTCCTCCTCTGAAACGGATACGTCCCTCTGAGACTAACCTCTCCGACACTCTGAAAACTAAGAAAACCTTACAGACAAAAAAACGTCCCTCATAAAAAAGGCTTTCAATGTGGTTTACGTCTCAGTTCTGGGTGCGTTACGACCCTGTGTGTGAGGGAAGCCCGTTACACCTGACCTTGAGGCACTGTCCGCCATGTTTGTTTATGTTTTCAGTGTGGTTATCAGATCTTGTCTGAAGTTACCTGCACCTGAAAGCTGTCAGCGCCTCGTTATGGGCTCTCCCAGTCGCTTCAAAGATGGCCGCCAATTGACCCCCATCCAACCTATCATTGCCACATTAGAGCGTGAAATGGGGGGCGTTTCCACACACACACCGGCGGGTGTTTCTTTAGCGTAGCATATATACTTCCGCTAGACTGAAAGATAGCTAAAACAGCGGCGTTGCTTGTTAAGAAAGTAAACCGAGACTGATCGCTTGCCCAGGCGTTTCTGAGAGTGATATTTTTGCCCTAAATCACAAGTCCCTGATGATGAAAAATGGTCTACCCCTGCGTGAATAGGATGGCAATTAGCCAATGAGGAACACTGCGACATTTGGGCTTCACAATGTTACAAGCAGGCGTCATTTGCATACTAGTAGTACCCGGGGCTTAATAGGTGAAGAAGTGTACGTGTGCGCTCGAAAACTACCTTTTTAATCGGACGTTAGATCGTTGTAGTAACGCCGCAACGGTGGTTTGAGAACGCCGCCACAACGTTCGGAAACGCTCTGGTGGACTGTATTTGTGACGCCGGCTGAGGTAGGTTAGTCCACTGTTACGTCGTGGGGCAATACGTACGTATCAAGAGGTCAGGATCCCTACTGTTAAAAACCAGTCCCTACGGCAGTTTACAAATTTAACCATACTACCGCAAAGCTGGATGTCTAACACAAGGGGCAACTGGACTTTAAAGTGGTGTAAGTAAGCCCTCAGACGCCAAGGGTGGCGACCAACTGCTTTACCTACTACGCCGAGAAACGAGATTCTATGACGCTCTAGAAAGAGGCCTGTGGATCGTCCGGAACAGAGGCCTCTTGACGCAGACGTGTAAGACAAGGACGACAATATCGTCAGCAGAATATCCTGAAGAGCTGTACACTTGTACAGGTGTTGTTGTGGAGGTTTCAAAGACTGAGTAGCGCCAGCGTACGTCGGAACCAAAAATGATGGCGGTGCTCCAGCCCAAGTCTAGCTTCAGTATAGAGTCACTGGTGTCCAAAGACCACCTCGCACGAGACGGCCCGCCTCGGACACTACCTCATCCCCCTCAGCTCCTGGAGTTGAGTAGACTCTGTAGAACGACAGCGGCCACAACCATAGACTCGGGGATACCCCACGTCCCGTACACGCAAGGCGGGATCCCGGTGTCGATACCGAGCTTAGGGAGTCTGTGTGCCGGGCCCAGACCGGTGTCGGTCCCGCATTACATGACGTACAGCGCCGGGCCTGCCATGGTGCCACCGGGGCTGTTGTCGGGCGCGTCCCCGGCCGTCCCCCACCAGTCGCCGGTGTCGCCGCCGTACCAGAGCCACCTCCCGTACAACCCCTGGATGTTGAGCGGACACCCGCCGTACGGACACAGGTTACAAGGTGAGACCACGAGAACAGACGTAGAAATATCCTTCTTCAAAGGACTGAGTTTTTTTATCAAAATGTTTAAAGGAGGCCTTAACGTAAGTCCACATTAACTTCCGTATCAGCAAACACTTTAAAACACACAATAAGTAGAAAGAACAAACGTATCAGAAAGCGATATACACTTATATCATTAATTGAAATGTATAAGAAGAATATGTGAAACTAAGCTGTGAAACTAAATGGCTATGTTCAAATATGTTACGACAAGAACTTAATTGATACAAGCCGTTCATATATTAGCATATCAAAATATCGAATTAAAAATTTTCTGGCATTAACAAGGTGTATCTTAATGTTCAAACTCTATGATTCGTGCCTAAAACGCTGTCATCAAAGATTGCTGCTTACATCAAAGACTAGTACTAGGTACATGGCATATTCAACCCTAGACATGCCATATGGATCCTTTAAATTATAAAGTTTAGAGTAGACTTTAGTCTCTATACGTTGCAGGTCAGTTACTTTGATTCTTCTTCTAACTCTATACGGATAGACGGATATATAGAAATTGAACATAACAGGGCGACGATAAACTATATTCTAAATTCTGTTTCAATTTTGCTTCACCCGCCTTTGTACTGTACAGATGTCAGTGAAGTTGACTACATCTTCGCGCATCACTTTTAATTATGAAAAACCTTGTTATTATACTTGTGGATACGTTTATGAGGGTAACTAATCCAGGAATATAGTACCATTTCGTACCTCGATGTCGCCTTGGTAACAAACCACGTGTGGCAATAGTACTCCTTTCTGATGTTTTGAGGAGACAGGCAGACAGCTCCTTCGCTTTTTGCGTCCTTTGAAGTCCTTGAATTAGAATCTAATATTTACCTCCTACCTCCACGAACAGGTCCAGATATCGGTAACGGATCGCTTATCCATCTACAAAATCCGTTCCGGAAACCGAAGAGAATTCGGACGGCGTTCACCCCGTCACAGCTGCTCCGGTTAGAACACGCCTTCGAGAAGAACCACTACGTAGTCGGGCAGGAGAGGAAGCACCTAGCGCAGTCTCTCAGTCTCACAGAAACACAGGTGGGTTTTAGACTGTCTCACAGAAACACAGGTGGGATTTAAACAGTCTCACAGAAACACAAGTGGGTTTTAGACAGTCTCACAGAAACACAGGTGGGTTTTAGACAGTCTCTCAGTCTCACAGAAACACAGGTGGGTTTTAGACTGTCTCATAGAAACACAGGTGGGTTTTAGACTGTCTCACAGAAACACAGGTGGGTTTTTGACTGTCTCACAGAAACACAGGTGGGTTTTAGACTGTCTCACAGAAACACAGGTGGGTTTTAGACAGTCTCACAGAAACACAGGTGGGTTTTAAACTGTCTCACAGGAACACAGGTGGGATTTAGACTGTCTCACAGAAACACAGGTGGGTTTCAGACAGTATCACAGAAACACAGGTGGGTTTTAGACAGTCTCACAGGAACACAGGTGGGTTTTAGACAGTCTCACAGAAACACAGGTGGGTTTTAGTCTCACAGAAACACAGGTGGGTTTTAGGGAGTCTCACAGAAACACAGGTAGGTTTTAGACAATCTCACAGAAACAGGTGGGTTTTAGATTGTCTCACAGAAACACAGGTGGGTTTTAGATTGTCTCACAGAAACACAGGGTTCAGAGAGTCTCACAGAAACAGAGGTGGGTTTTAGACTGTCTCACATAAACACAGGTGGGTTTTAGACAGTTTCACATAAACACAGGTGGGCTTTAGACTGTCTCACATAAACACAGGTGGGTTTTAGACAGTTTCACAGAAACACAGGTGGGTTTTAGACTGTCTCACAGAAACACAGGTGGGTTTTTGACTGTCTCACAGAAACACAGGTGGGTTTTAGACTGTCTCACAGAAACACAGGTAGGTTTCTGACAGTCTCATAGACAGTCTCAGAGAAACACAGGTGGGTTTTAGACAGTCTACAAGAAAAAGAGATGGGTTTTACACCCACAAAATCTCACGGAAAAACACGTGGAGCTTAGACTGTATATCATCTTCCTATAGAAAAAGGTGTGTTCTCTTCTTACTTGCAATAGGGCTTTTCAAAGCATCGGATAAAATTATATAATACAGCTAGTAAACGCATTGTTCATTGTAGAAATATCCATCATTTTACCGCCGTTTGAAGAAATGGCTTCAGATTAACAGAGTCAAGAAAGTGCTATGACAATTTGGAAGAGAAACAAGGAAGGGGGAAGTCATGTATCATTAGCTGGCGAATTTTTTCCATACCATCGTTTGTCATACAAGTCTCGTTATCCTCGTCAGTTGAGAGTTCATCTAGAAATCTTACGTAATTTGCGACTGTGAAATCTTCCCATTCTTACGCCAGTCATTAGAAGTGGCACATTTGCCAAGTTGAATGTAAAAACCCACCTAAATCGCGTGTGGGCATTACTTAATGAGGCAATTTTCTTGTCTTGCGCTGAATGCAGCAGACAATATCACGAGGTCCATCTGGATATAGTGGCTCCGTGGCTAACAGTTTTATCTGTACTACCAGAAGTGGTTTAAAACCATAATAGCCTTACGTGTCTGGCTGGACTATGCTGCGGTTGGGCAAGAATTTTAAGCCCCATTCCTTCGCTCAAATGAGGGGAAATAGAAAACACTTGGGTTCAACGTGATACTTTTGTGAGCTTTCGAACCGATATCGCATTTCAAAAACAACCAAACAATCAATACAAAACATTGTGTATATTTGATATTGTAATCTGACTAAGAAAACACATTAAATTGTTCGTAGCGATATACAAGAAAGGTCAGCAAGTCCACCGTATGTATACTCGTTGCTTTCAACGCTCGGGGGTAACTTCACTTCTACCCGAGACAAGAGGCACTGTGTATACGCTGAGTGGAGGGTAACTTATGCTGGATATACCTTCAATCTAACTGCGTGAATTCAACATAAACGTTAAGAAAGTTGGAAAACTTTAATGTAACATCAAGTAATACATTGATCAACAACTAATTTTCTGCATTATAGTACGTTGAAATGTCAATATTCAACTTACGTTGAAATCAAGATTCAACTTGAATTCGAACTGAGGTACAACCAAGTTCGATGATAAAGAGATATGTAGACATGCCTCGTGCTCTGTAGTGCATTGCACGATTTGACTGTTTTGTTTTTTCCTGACAAAAATGTCGGTAGATTTATGTTTTAAAGCTATTTGCTACTTGAAATACTGCTGTCTTATTTTGTTGTACTTAACTTTTCCTCTTGGAAAAAATACCTCCCCCTCGAACCGTCACATATAACGTGGGTGGTCTTGTAACTCATATACAGCATATTGCATAGATAATTTTGCAATTTTTACCCACAATTGGTTTTCTACAAAGTAGGATTGACTGTGTCTCTCTGCTTCGAGTTGACCGTCCATTTTTGATGGCACCCTGTCATGCCCAATTATATACCAGCGTGCACTTTTCAACTGACGAAAACGGAAAGCAAAATTTACGGCATTGCCAAATTCTACTTCTCATCAAAATGTGTAGACAGTTTAATATATGCAATCTGATTTTCCTAAACTGTTAAAAGGCATTTGACATATGTTCGGTCAGTAATACTCGCTGACGGCCACCCTCCCCTCCCCCTTTGTGCATTGATATATGAGATATGGCCGTAGTCCAACGCTGAACGTTTTCTTTGTGTCACTGACATATTATCTTCGATCCTTATCTCTCTCCAAAACATATAGCACGGTTTGACAGCCCCTCGTATTTCAACTGGCACAACGATGTAGTATATCACACGGCCTTGTGTGGCCAATGCTTTTCCTACCCTACACAGTAAAAGCCATTAGAAACGTGCATTAACTATTGTGTGGTGGCACAATCGTCTATTTTGTGTTGCCCTCCCTCAGCTTTTTTTCTTTGTTTCAAGCACTAAGGACTGTTAACAGAAAACCTGGTTTAGACATACACCTTTTTCGTCAGGTAGTTTGGGCATGGAGGCATAATAAAAATGACCAGCGTTTACGATCGCTCGTCAGGCCACATTAAGATGGCTTCAGTGGTCACAAAATATCTGGCCACCAAGGTCACACAATTGTACAGACATTTAACAAAATTATGTGGTCTATACGTTTATTTCACAATGTATGCTATTCAACATTTCATCGATTGTTACGCCCTGTATGTATAGTATTTTTTCGCTAGTCCGTCAAAACAGTTAGAATACTATATACTAGCAGAAAGGTCATACGATCTTCGTTGTTTTCCAATATGTTAAACTCGTATTGTTATAGTTACGTACGTGTCCAATGGGCTAGAAATTTTGAACTATTCTAAAACATGTACGTGTATATGTTTTTGTAGAATAAACGCTACAATGTACATAAGTTGATGTCTATACATAGCAAGATTTTCTATGACTGTCAAAGAGATCTTTAGAATTAGATATTTAGTGGCAGAATCGCCCTGAACGTCAGCTTTGATGGCAGATATTCAAAGAATGTACTTAGTACAGAATCCTTAATAATACTTAGTGTTTTATCTCTATATACAAAACACGTACAGCAAGATCATGTCTTCACGTATAAGTGCGATCGTTTTGAGTAACTGTTGAGTTGGTTCCAAATCAATTTACATGTTTCGAAATGTTTTGATTTAGCAATATGTTTAGCAAGTGTCACAAACTATCTTATAAGATATTTGTGTTCTGTGTACACTGCATAGATATGTATTTATTAAAGGTATTTTGCATAATGTTAAGTAGATTATCTTTGGACTAAAGAGGTCTTTTCTACCCTCTCACCAACTCGTACAGGTCAAGGTGTGGTTCCAAAACAGGAGGACGAAACACAAGCGGGAACAACAGGGGGACGATTCGGGGAGAGACTCTCCCACCAAACACAGAGGCGCACACCACATCAACCGGTGGAGACAGGCCACTCAGCAGCTTACAGCTACGGCGGAACACGCCACAGCACCCGACGGACACGAAGAGACGAAAAGTACGAGCAGTAACAGCGACGCTGGGTCTAGATAATAGACTCTTCCTGACTGACTTGACTGACTGATTCGGTTTCATGGTCGAAAGAAGAAGGGACAAGCAAAAGTAGCTGAAAATGACTTGAACGAAAGAAAATCAGAACAGACGCCGTGCTGCTTTCAACCGTAGAATTGACGAGTTTTCCCGCCAAGATTGTGGAGCTGAGAGAAACTTGTAGTGTCGTCTGACAGAGTCGCGAAGAAAATAAACTCTCAGTAGAAATGTATACTGGCGGAAAGGGTTCACAGAGTATGAAAAGACGACGACTGAGTCGGGTTGACCCTCCATTCTATACGATATCTTCCGACTGAAAACACCACAAAAGGAGGCTAAAGTAATGGCATTTTTCGTGCTACTGACTGAAGCACGAATGGTACGGGACCAAGAGCACAGGACTGATAATTCTAATACCACGATTCTTTCTTTTTGTACAAATATGCATATGTCTGTGAAAATGGTGAGGGACTACTAGAATATGGTGCCGTTGTGGTATACGAAGTCTACGAAGAACAAACTTCGACGGTTTCAATGCCTGAAAGACGTTGTGTTTACCGTATGCATATGTAAAACGTGGAGGTGGACATTCACCAGGTAAACAATGTTTTTCTGTAGACAACGAGTGGCTCTGGTCGGTATCAAGCGATTTCACGTGTGTATGTGGAAGCATTTAAAGGACACCATGTGCCTTTAGTTTTTCACAACCAAGCAAATTTCAGACAAAAATGCATCCAAACATATTTCTATAGTGAAATATTGTACAGTTGACACCACATGTACCAAGTTAATTTCACCACACTCTAGCTCTTACCACTAAACACAAGCCGCTATCGTTACCATTTAACTGTGATGCTCTTTATGTACAGTTGTTTCTTTTGTATAAGCTGAACAAATAAAACAATGAATTTTCTTCGAAACAACATTTGGTTTCAAGGGATTGCTTCTAAATTGTGCAAATTTTGCTATGGTTATGACACGTTCCTGTGCATTTTACTACATATATACATGTAAATAAAATGTCACGTGTTTTTAAAGCGTCCTCTCAAAAAAAGAAGGCATTTTTGTGACTTCATGTTGTGTGACTGTTTAGGGAAACTTTTTCGCTACCATTTCCTGAAAACATAAAGAACGTGCAGCACTTTATGTCAGAAATGGTGGCTCTATGAGCTGACAACAACTTGTGTCGGCCATGTTTTTTCAGACGACGTTTTTTTGACACAGATGAAACTGACAACTTTGCCGTTCATGTTCATGTCAGGCGGCTGTTCAACTACACAGTTTCCCATTCAGGCTTTCTCTATACGTGTCACTCGTACTCAGCCATAACGCGACCTGACAAAATAATAAGCCGGACAAATCTTCCACCCTCCCAGGTACAGGTTGCTCCCGCCGTGCGTTAGCAGTCAGCCTGTCACACCGTGTTTCCGTCAAGGGGACGCTATCATCACGGTTGACAGATGTCGCCGTTTATACCGCCCGGTTAGATCATCAAATTATACCCCAGCGATGTTGGAACTAGAAAAGATGTCCATGTGACTCAACTTGGTCCCCAACTGTGCGGAAGACAAAGCTATAGTTGTGTTATGGCAGGGGGTGACCTCCAGAGGTCACGAGCAAACTTGGCGAACCAGGTGTCTGATATCGTAAACGCTGTGCAGCAAAACAATTACCACCAATTAAATCATATCTTATTATAACATGCCCCCATATGGACAGCACTGTCGCTGATTCAAACATTGGCAACGAAAAAAATCAATCGACCACACTTGACTGAACTTTCCTTACAGAATAGAGAACAGTTGGCAGCAACAAAGGTGATTTGAATCAGATTTTAAATGTAGATAAGTTGTAGTACACATTGTAACATGTCAACATTGACGAAACACAGACATCCCTAGCTGTTTACTCTTGTGTGTTATTAGAAGCTTAGTTTTAACTACCCTTAACTACGTTAAATCCTTCAAAGATAAAACAGATAGTGATATATCCTAGTTATGTTTGACTGATATCACAGTGAGTCAAAGTTATCTATGGTTATGCTTAGGTGAAAGGATAAAAAGTGTGCAGGTCTTCGAAAATTTGTTTTTATAAATGTTAAACAACATGATCAAATGATGTTATAGCATAACAAAATGCACTGTTCTTTGTGTAGGTGTATTTTTCCGACTATCTCTTCACTAACTCTAACATATAAAACCCAACACACAAAATGACCATGATAATATTTACCATTTTAGCCAAGACCGCAGTCGCAAATTGTTGTTTTGGCATCATGATATTTACGTATATTAGAAAAAAAAAAGATTAGTACAAAGCAACCAAACACACATGTACACTGAGAATAACTTACAACTTGAATGACTGAAATACCATCGAAATTCTAAAAGAAATGTTGTTTTTTTCTTAGATGTATCATGAAGCGTATCTTGGCAACCGTTTCCGATGACATTTCGATGCTCGAAGCGTAGGTCCCCCGCCACGTCAGATAAATAAACGTAGCGGGGTCGCGGTCTCTGCAAATGGGAATTAAATGGACCGTCTTTGTCTCTAAGGAGGGTTTATTGTGTTCAGTACGAGAACCAGATTGCGGAGCGCCGCCGCCCAGGCACGTTCGAGCGGGACATGATATTCGTGAGGCCGGCGCGATGGGCTGAGAGCAGCCGCCAAGCGATAAGTCTGGCTCCTGACACTCCTAACAACAAGTCATGTCGGGTTTGGGAACAAAACAACATCAGCACTCGAGTACAACCAACCCATCTCCTTCGTGTATATTTACGATACTTGAGAGTTTAGTCTAAAAATACAACCAAAATTCGACAAAACACTTAAATGTAAAATGAAGTAAATTTGAATTTCTACTAGCAGGTTTGCGAAAGCAAAATGCGTTTTGAATGATTTTTTATGTGACACATTGGCACAATGATAGAAGAGTACTTTTTATATAGCTTGTATTTATCTAGCAATATTTAGAAAATTTAAGACACCGAACTGAGATTCGAGCTGTCTTCAAAGTATAAGAAAATATTTGCCTTCTTGAAATGATTTATCTTAACGCTTAAGTATCAAATGAATAAAAAGAAAATAACACTGTTAATCGCTGTGTTTGGTGAATGGTCTGTAATCTTATGCAAATACATTAAGCACTTCAAACCGTTTAAATCTAAATGAGGGGTTTGCAGACAGTCATTACAGAAGGTAAAATATTGCCCATTGTTGTTCGTACGTTAACGAAGACCTCCCTTGCGATTAATCTGAGTTCACTTTGTGGCTTCTTCAGACGTAGAAAAAATGTCGGGTATTTTGTACTTTTAGTCTAGACAAAGGCTTTCTAAGTTCTTTTTTTAGTAATTAACCAAGACACCGAACAACAGTTACTTAGAATTGACAGGGAGAACACGCAATGTGTTTTGTATATTGAACACGGAACAGCTCGTCAACAAGACATATATGTACATGACGTCTTCAACATTTTATTACAAAGAAATTAAAGACATTTCAAGTATGTTGTACAATAACTGGACTGTATTTCTGGATACAGACAGTATGTAGTTTTGAATCTAGCTTCGCTGTCAGATTAAATTGATGATACTGCTTCTCAAACCTCTATTTTTCACATTTTTCTTCTTTCAATTGGCCTTATGAATTATCAATAGCTTCGACAGTATCCAAAAGCGACCAGCTATAACTCAGGGGTTACTTGTCGATGCAATTATTCATAAACTTGAGCTTGGAGTGCATAGCGGTATGGTATTCTAGGCAGCGGGTTGATGAAGGTTTGTTCTTCGGGTTCAACTCTTTCTTTCCCCGAGGAAGTTCGTCAGTTATGCCGGTAGAATTTTGCTTTCTCGTGCTTCTAGATCGAATGATAGACTTCCACTTGCAAAAACTATTTCAACCTGCATTTTTCCTGTTGTCAACAAAATCAACCATTGAAAACTCTTGTGCCTTTACGTGACGAGGATGCCATGTTAGATCGACAAGCACATGTTTTAACCCGTGATATCGTCATGCCATCTACACACAAAATCATGCAGACGAAGAAACTCATACATGATGTGTCGAAAGCTTTTGATAACAATGACAGGTGACAAGTGACAAGTGATGGGTTTCATTCAGCTACAGTACATTGCATCGCCGTTCCTATATACAATACATACACACCCTAGCAAAGTAACTACCCTTTAATTCAAATTCATATTGCATACCAAATCGGGGAAAATTAAAGTAGAACAACTCTGACAATGGAAAGACAACATCTTTCTGCGAAGTTGTGTTGCCATGCTCTCCGTATCGGGTGTGCCATCTTTGTTGTGTTCTGACCAGAAGAATGACATGCCTTTTCCGATTGATCAGATAAGCCATGCTCTTCCTTTGTTCAGTCCGTGATCAGGCGACATTGAAGCACCAATTTGCCCCTATTACTTGATAGCTTTGATCACGTCTTTTGGAAGAACACCGAAGAGATCAAACTGGAGATATGCAAATTTACGAGACATATGGGCAGCTAATTGTGTTACTAACTTTTATACCGAGATACTATGTCCTTCATGGTAATACAACGTTTCAGATATACATATTGTGTTGTATGTTGTAAGGATATTTTTGTCATAGGCAGCCCAAAAGGTATAGATTAACTGAATGTCAAAGGCCGAGTCAAAAGTTAATGCACTGCACTTGTGCTGGTATCATAGAGAATGTTTCAGACTTCACATTTCTCACGTTGGACAGGACGCCATTGTTGGGACCGTGGCGTAACAAATCGCCATCCTGCCACAGAGAGCACATTTCACAATCAACTTCGCGCAATTTGTCTGATTCTGTGTTTTTAGCGTTTTAAACGTCCCGCGAATGGTTCTGAGTAACGTTTTGGGCATGTACATTTCTGTAGCGAATATTTGAACAATCGCAAGAATTTTCTTCACATTTTTACAGCGAAAAGGGCAGGTTAAATGTAACAGAAGTGTACAAATAGTATAAATTATGAGTGCACGCTCTGGTTGCACATTTGTTATGACAGAATAATTAGTTCCCGGCGGCGTGCCCCCCGGCTCAGATGACCCTTAGATAAGAGAGGTTTCACAGGTGTTCGTGTTAGCCCAGGGAACAGTAACATGTCCTGACGGGCGCGCGCTGATATATGGCTCCCGTGGCGGAGGTCGGTCCCGACCGATTTACCCCCGTCTCCCCGCTCGACCTTTTCCTTTTGCTCGGCGTGTTTTAATTGGCACGGGGAGAGGATTTAACTTTGGAATCCAAAAACAAAACAGGCAGTCTGCTGCATACCACTAAACGCTATTGTTTGCTTAGATTTGTTTGTTTGTTGCTCTTGTAGATATAGCTTCACACTAGTGTGTACATGTACATGTATTCTGAAGCTTTTGATGAGTAAGATATGGACTATATCTCTAGCAAGTGTAACACCGGTTACCACTCAAT